CAAGAGGATGTTTGGGTATTTTAAGGCCACTGACTCTCCTCTACCTGTGAGAGTCTCTTTCTCTTTCATTTTATTCAGAATTGGGTTTTAATGGAGGAAGTTTTGTCACCTTGTTATGTTTCTATTGCATGTTACCATTTAGCATGTTCACTGTTACTAGTAAACAGCTGGGCTGGCAAGTTACAAAGAATGTAGAAAGAATTCTTGTTTTTTGAATTAATTTGTTTTGCAGACTGTTCCAGGGTATGATGTTCCTGGTGTGGTGGTGAAAGTGGGAAGTCAAGTAACAAAGTTTAAGGTGGGGATGAAGTATATGGGGATCTCAATGAGAAAGCTGTGCAGAACCCAAAAAGGTTTGGGTCTTTGGCAGAGTACACTGCTGCAGAAGAAAGAGTTTTGGCTCTGAAACCCAAAAATCTGAGTTTCATTGAAGCTGCTAGCCTTCCCCTGGCTATTGAGACTGCCTATGAAGGGCTTGAACGAACTGAATTTTCTGCTGGTAAATCCATTCTTGTTTTAGGAGGTGCTGGGGGGGTGGGCACACATGTTATTCAGGTAAAGTAATTTTATTTCTAATACCAAAATGTCCTGAGGCTATATATACCACAAACTGTATATGGAATTAAAGTGAAACCATTTCCACTAATTTGGGCAGCTAGCAAAGCATGTTTTTGGTGCTTCCAAAGTAGCAGCAACTGCAAGCACTAGAAAACTGGAGCTGTTGAGAAGCTTGGGTGCTGATTTGGCGGTCGACTACACCAAGGAGAAGTTTGAGGAATTGCCTGAGAAATTTGATGTGGTATATGATACAGTTGGTAAGATTCTTCATTCTGGTTTCTTTAACAATTCGATACATGATGTCATCCGTATAAGGCATGCACCCACCAACAGGGGAGTTTATTGGTTTATTTCTTTACCAGGAATGAATCAAAGACTCATATTATTTTATGATGTTTTTCGCCAAAAAAAAAAAAAACGTTTTTCGCCAAAAAAACAAAAAACAAAAAAAAACAGGGGAGTCTGATAGGGCAGTGAAGGCAGTGAAAGAAGGTGGGAAAGTAGTGACAATAGTATCAGGTCGTGCAGCAGCAGCACCGGCCGTCCATTTTGTACTGACTTCAACTGGGACTGTATTGGGAAGCTGAAGCCATACTTGGAGAGTGGGAAGGTGAAGCCGGTGCTTGATCCCACAGGCCCATATCCCTTTTCCAAGACTGTTGAAGCATTTGCCTACCTTGAAACTTCCAGGGCTACAGGGAAGGTGGTTGTGCATCCCATCCCATAAGAAAGATGATAGAGATTGTGCAGGCAGGCAGGCAATCAGACAGTTTGTGAGTTATTTGTAATCTGCTGGTTGTGTAAACTTAAAGTGTTGTAACATGTAATAATGGGGATGTGAGATGCTTATATGTATTATATATGAAGTTGGGAGTTTTGCATGTGTATATGGGCTTGTGAAAAATAAGAAAAATAAGAAATTAAACTTTTTCCAAGTGCATTGTTATGAGACAGGATTTGTAACTTGTTCTCTTGCTGTTTCTGTTTATTTTGGGCTTCTTCTTTTGTTTCATTTCATTTACTTAGCTTTAATAATTGGATGATTACGAGATGAATTTGTATCAAGTATTAATACAACAATTACATATATGAAGATTAAGACGAACAACATATCGTATCACCAAACATAATCAAACCACTAAATGTAATCATCCTTTTCTTCAACTATCACGAAGCATTTGCATATTTATTAATACCTTTCTTTTTTTATAACCACCACCCAAACCACCTTCCTTTCTTACAATGTCTTAAGGTGCAATTATAATGCACATGACTGCCTATTTTTGAAAGGCACGTTGTTTCTTTCTGGTCATTATATAATAGCAATATTAGGCCAATATGCATACACTAGAGAGGCAATATTAGGGCAATATAACCGCAATACGACAGAAATAACATCACAATATACATGCAATAGGGTTACAATATGCATACAATATGTATGCAATACAAAGGCAATATTAGTACAATACACATCCAATAGGACAACAATATTAAGTCAATCTACATACAATATACACAACCATTACAGACTACAATTTAGACATGCAAAATAAATCGCCACCGAACTCTAACAATTTAGACTACATTTTATTATCTTTAAATCTGTCGTCTAATACATTCCCAAGTTGTTACATTTAGGTTTTTGTTTCCTATGATTATATACAACGATTTTAACTAGAAAACCAATTATAATGCTTCATTAACGAATATATATGCTCAAAAATTATTTCTTTCATAAAACTTGAAAATTCAATTGTTATTACATAGTCAACCAATCTTTGCTCTATTACATACATACTTCCTACTTATAATTATAAATAATGGAGAGCTCACAAATTCTACTAATTTGATCTTCACTTCATCAATTTGTTCTTCGGTGTATGAGTTAGCTCTCTCTTCTTGCACATTTTCCAAGCTGTTCTATTCTCCTCCCATGTAGCAATATCAGCAAGAACTGTTTTTGCAAGATATCATACATGCAGTTTTAAATGTTTCTATCGCTAAAGGTATGTGTCAAAGGAAACCCAGGTCTGTATCAGCAAGCCCAACTAACTGCCACATAAGTTCACCTCTATAGATGCCCCACTTCTGCCTTAAGCCTATGCACATTTTTCACACCAATACATCACATGCTCCCAAATCTGCCGAACCAAAATCTGTATATAAGGACAATATGGTCTAAAAAGATTCAAAACTTCTTCACAAGATAACTCAATCATGAAGAAATAAAACTAGGTCTGGAACAATACACTTCAGTGGATTTCAATATGAAGAAGGCACACATTCAGATGAAATTGAGATAAGCACACATGGTGCTAGGCATAAATGACTACCAGAAATGAAACAGAGATAAAAGGCAATGTATTACAAACCAAAGTAAGACCAGAAAGACCCTGGACAGGAATAGGTTGTGATCTACGCTGGGTATCTCCAGTTCCAAGCTGTCCATATTCATTGTTACCCCATGCCCATAAAGTACCATCCTCTTGAAGAGCCAAATTATGAAATGCCCCAACTGCAATGAGCTTCACTGCATCAAGACCTTGTACTCGCACAGGTGTTGAAATTTGTTTTATGAAAATAAGAAGAAAAGTTCACAGAGCATTCTAGGATAAATAACAGTCCCATGAGTTCTCAATTACAACTATGCACGTAACTATTAACGTATGAAACATGTTTGATATAGTACAACCCAGAAAGTAGGTTGCCATCAAAGGAGTGCTTGAAAAGAAATTGATATAGTCAAGTCTAAGGGAAACATACATGTCTCCTGGAGGCCACGGCTGACCCCAGGTCCATACTTGCCCATCATGTGTAAGTACCACAGAGTGAGTACCCCCAGCAGCTACCTGTGATGTAAAAATCAGAAAATGTAAAACTTTATGGAAAAAGATGTCACTCGAGAAACAGGGGCATCCCACATCCAAAAATTCGTATCATGCAGGTCAATGTTCTACTCTTTGGCATTTGTAACTCACCTGGCGGACTACAAGCTTCGGTGCACAGCACTGAGGGATCACTATATCCCTTCTCAAAGGTCTACCAGTGTCATCTTTCCGCTCAGGTTCTTCACTACACTGTCCATACTCATTTCCACCTGCACCAAACAACTTTGGTACGCTTAGAATGATAAAAAAGGTAACCTCTGGGGTCTAGTTCAACACTTTCAAGAGAACCAAATAAAAGCCCTACATGGAAGCAGAAGAAATAAAATATCCTAGATGTTGTTATATACATGAATTAAAAAGCAACCATCTTTTGGTATCCGGCTTAAAAGAGATACATTTTGTTCTTCTATTGGATTCTGAATAATCAAAACAAGATAACCCAATATTATGCAATAGCTTCTTATCCAAAATATTCACGGTAAACAAAAAGAGAGTAAAGAGAGCTCGATTAAATACCCCAGGCGTAAGCACGGCCTTGATCATCAACAGCCAAACAATGCCATCCACCAATAGCACCCTATATTTCAAAACATCCACTAGTTAAATTCGATGAAAACTTATGCAAACAATTAGCTATTTCCAAAGCCAAGCACGGTTACGATGATATGTGAATTACCTGAACAATTTTAACATTGGCAAGAGCTTTAACTTGGCTAGGAATGTTCTCAGTTTTGGGCTCTGGAGGGTGCCCCAAGGTTCCTCTTTGGTTCCAACCCCATGTAAACAACTGGTACCCAGTTCAATTCACAACACACACAATTACAACAACAAAATAAAGTATCCAAATTTCAGTAAAGCAAGACCCAATACTTAAAAAAGTGCAAAATACACACAAATACAAGAAAAGGGTAAGAAGCAAAAGAGTGATAATGACAAAGTAAAGAAGAAGAAGAAGATAAAGGGGGAAGGGGCCCACCTTGCCATCATCGCAAATGGCAAGAGAGTTTCGGCTACCAGCGACAACAGACCGGACAGTCCTTGACTGGAGGGCTTCGACAACACATACCCACTCCTTCTCCTCGTTGTTCCCGATTCCCAATTGTCCATCTTCACCCGAGCCCCTGTGTGTAGTAAGACAAATACAATGAAACGTGTTTTACTCTCTGTGTGTGTCTCTCTGTGCTTCACCAACCAACCA